CCGCTGCTATCTTTTGACCGCCCATTTGGGTAAAAGAGCAGAATGAAGATTGAAATTTTGAGAGCAAATTCAAGCGGAAGATAGAGAATCCATATGGACTGAGGTTGCAAGAATAATGAGTAGATGCACGAGCACCACTGTTTGTGACACTCAGCCATGACGAATCAATGTAATCTACGATTCTATTGAAACCTTGGTGACAGTGGTCATGTTCTCACGCCACTCAATGATCCTGAATGGACAAATACATCCAAGGAGATCACTGAAAGGCATTATCAACCATGGGGCGTTGGAGGAGGCTTACTGATAACCAGAAATGTAGAACTGATGCCCTTAGTAAGATCGAGGTCAGAACATATGAGACAGCCCGAAGGTGGGATAGGTCCAGATCCACCCTGTAGCAGGACACTAGAAGCGGAAACAGTCAAAACCCAGTAATAAACGGACTAGACACCAAAAAAGCTCTCGGGAAAGGATAATAGTCATGTTTGACCTCAAATTGTAAAATCATGCGTCGGAGATGAAAACCGTGGTTGAGTTGAACATTTCGATGCGAACCATACGACGAACATTTAAGTGTCCTAGGGATCGAACACAAGCAAATGAGATGAGTAGCTATAACAACTCTAGAAACAAAAAAACAAAACTATTTTGGAGTGCAGTTCAAGTAACCTGGAAAATCAAAATGGAATTTGGTCTACTACAGCAGGGAAAAGAAAATTAATTCAGATGGATCCGACGGTTAGAACTACTATTGGAATGATCGAGGAAAGAAAAAAGGTTCCTCCGAAAGCAGATCAAGGATCAAAATTCCTTCAACGATCAACGATAAAACCGAACGCGTAATACAATGTGATTTGAGAGATTATGATGAATATGTTCGTCCTCTGGAGCGGCGTCTTATGCCAACGGCGACAATGAATGGATACCCTGAAGCCATTTTCCAGCAAAATAATACCAAAGCACATAACTCGTATTTAACAGAATGCTGGTTACCACTTCGTGGTATCGAAAGAATGATATTAACTGCATTAAGCCCATATTGGGACCTAACAGAAACCATTTGAGCTATTCTTATCGAAAAGGTGGTGGCGGCGCTGTCACCCGTCTGCTTTGAGCCCTATAGTCCGCAGTTCGAACTCCGTCACGACTACCTTACTTTGGCGGTAGACAGCTCCGTCTGTCGTCCGGTTCAACACCACGACTAAATTAGGGGGGCCTTATGTGCTTTGGTACTCCAACCCCGGGGCTTAGGTTGCCGGCTACCATCAGCAGGTCTTCGTGACTATGGGGTTCACCCCGTCCGATGTTCATCACACATCACATGTGTTTATTAAAAAAAAACAAATTCACATCAGAAATCATGAATTAGAAGCATCGTTGATTAGGGAGTGAAATGTTATCGACATCATCGGTAGTCCTATACACAGTACTAAAGCTGCTTCAGTCGGGGATGCAATACCTTGTCGCGGTGAAATTGTTTCTCTCAATATACTTCCTTCATAATAAAAGATAGTTTGATGTTTTTTCGTGTTTTGGCTTTTCCATTTGGTTGCCACTTAGATTTACAAAAACGATGATAATGCTTGTGTGAGTGGAGATAATTCAGAAGTTTAGATATGGATTGTAGTAATTTACTTCAGTTTCAGTTTGAACAACCATTAACCACGCATATTCGAGCGCCGGTTTGGTTGCTATCTTCCGGCTGCCCATTGGGATGAAGAATAGGAGAAGGAAAGTCGAAAGTGGATTCGAAAAGAAAATGGAGAAGTTCAGTGAACTAAGGTTGGAAAGAAATTGAGGAGATGCACGAACGCCACTGTTTACGACACCCAGCCATATCGCTCAGTGTCTCTAATCATCGGTTACGATCATCTCGAGGTCCCCAGCAAGGGAACTTAACAGGACCTATGTGACCCAGTCTCCTGGTTAGGGTTTTCATACCCTCGTGCCAGGTCTTAACTTGACCCCCCTTGGCTTTTTCCACTCGGTATCTGCTTCAGCGAACATTGCTCGCCAGTAATTTATATAATTATAGGAACATGTTACGCTCATAAGAGCGACTCTCGAAATCTCCGAAGCTAGTTTTTTTTCAACTACACAAACGTTTTTCGTCGCTACATGGTACACACACACAGCAAGTGCATTCTCGATCAATCAAATAAAACGTGGACATACCTGGCGCATTGTATGCTTGATTGCCCAAATCACACTGTCCAAAATTAGTTTGAATTTATCTGTTGGTAGACTCAACAACGCTGAGAAGCAATGACAGTTCACTGCTTCTAGAAGGTTGAAGAAATTCGTCCGGTGCTCGGGATACTCTTCCAAATCTTTGTCAATCATTTCCAGTGTGGACTGAAACGCAGCATCGAGAATGCGCGGAAGAGCAGGTAGGATGTGTTCTTCCAGACGATTGACCAGATTCGTCATCAAAGCGAGTACTTCGGATTCCCGCGCGGCAGGTACGTTGCGCTGATAGTCATCAGCAACGGCATCCAATAGAGGTGGAAGACATACTTCAGCAATCTGGAACGTACGACAAACGGGATAACAAAATAAGCACGAGCGTCCAATCAAATGCTGCAGATAGGATACATAGACCAGAGAGTGGTCAAACAGATGATTAAGCTGTGAAGCCCGAGTGCCAGGGCTTAATAACTGGCGGATACCTTTTTCTCGGCACGAGACAAATCAACTAGTGTGATCTATATGGGACAAATTCTATCGATATTTACTTGGGAACCCAATAGAACTCGGAACAACGCATCGGAAAAGTATAAACGTTCCAAAACTGGCTCGCTAAATATCACAACCTACTGCTGAGATTGATCATCCGTAAGATAAAGAGTGGTGATGGATGAGGGTGCGGTGAGAACTGGGCGCTTACCCAAGCAGCATCGTGTGTCCGGCGAATCCAACAGGACAGCACATTTAGGATGGCCTTCTTGACCGAACGCATGCTCTTGATTAAAGGTTGTTTAGTCACTTGCTCGCCGTTTGCTGCCACTGCCTGACCAATATTCTGAGACATGATTTTGTATACGTTGAGCATGTCGAAATAAATGCGGATGAGCTACAGGCGAGAGAGACGGAAATGAGAACGTTGATTACGAAATGGCAAATCGTGGGGCGAATGTATTTTGTAGACTCAAAAATGAAAAAATGAATATCTATCTAACCTGGATCAAGTACGGCTGGCCGAGAGACTTGCATGCGCTGAGGTTTGTTTTCAAAATATTGCACAACTGCTTTACAACTTCTGGATCTTTTAGTATATCTACATTGTGTGAAGCTTCGGCGAGAATTCCGTCCCAGATCTGAAAAACAACGAAGGGCCAATTACACAAACCAACAGACACACTTACCTGATTTGGCAAACGGAACAGTCGTTCTATTTGCTTCCCTCGAACAGCTTGATCGGTCTGTGCACTGATGATAATTCCAACTGCCTCGTAGAATGTATGAACTTGTTGCGGATGTAAGTCATTGATGATAATATCTATATCTTTGAGGATTTCTTCAATAAACTCGACACCCTCGCCGTACTGGAAAGGAGAGGAGCGAAAAAAATGACGTTCTGATATGGTTGATCAGTGTGCACTACAAGCAATCGGTAGAGACCGGGAAAAAACGATAACTTCCCTTTTTCAGTAGGATACTGATCTATGCGCCAGTGTGTCAATGTTTTCAGGAAAAAAAAAAACATTTTTAAATCCACTACATTTTAACAAATGAAGTCTTTAAAGAGGCAACGGAACTGAGTGTGTAACATGGCGTGGCCACTATCACACAAGTGGAGAAACACTTAGTGATGTATATGCATAGGATAGAAGTTATCTACGTCTGACACCTCACTAGTGTATGAAACACAAATCCGCAATATATCCCTGAACACCAATCTTGCTCTGTTATCCACATTCCCTGTCCTAGTCAGCCGAATTTTACGTGACTGGCAATTAATCCTAAAATGGCAGCTACCTTACTGATCCCCATTTGGTAGCGTAGAGTGCTTTTAATCCAAGCGATAGTATCCAGTTCTCACTTGGAGTTCTCTCATTTGTCGCACGAATGTGTGATGAACAGTAGACGGGTTCGATCTAATGTTCACGTATGAGAACGGGCATGCTAACCTCTTCAAACACTTGGAGAAATCCTGTTAGACGTTAGACGTGATATTCAACCGGATGAAAGCAAAGCTGTCTACCGCCAAATATGGGTGGGATTGAGGGGAGGTGCGAACCTCGGACCATAGGGTCTAAAACACACCGGTGACAGCGACCAAACCATTGCATCACTATCGTGTCACAGTTTTCCACCAGGCGACAATTGAAAATACCGATCAACCCGCGTTCGTAAGGCGTTTTTATTTCCTCTGTTTCCCAAAGGAGAAACAAGGTTAGGCGATTTTTTCTGCCAAAACAGATTCGACGATAATAAACTGAATTGTGCAAGCACTCAAGCTCCCATGGCCGGATCGCCGACAAGTGACTTGTTATGCAACATTGGAGCAAGTGATAATTGGGGACCAATTATGAAACAAACTCTTGAATACTTTAATTACTTTACCTCTCTTTTTCCTTGTAAATCCTTCTTTGATACTAGTCATATTTATTGTGTTGTAATGGCATGATTAAGACACTGAAAACGAGCTTGTTTGCTAATTTATGTTCTCATTAGAAACTGAATTTCCTCGGAATGCTTTCTTCTCTATAGTAATCCCAAATTACAGTGTATCTTTGATTAATCGGTGTTGCTGCAAAGCACCTTCAATTTATGGCAAAAGACTGTATTTTGTACTGTAGCGGATCTAAGTGCATACTGATACACTACATTTTCCAGATCACTGTCGGATAGGCTTGTATAGACTATTTCCGCTCAACGAATTAGGGTCACTGTCATAAACAAGCTGAACAGAAAGTGTGTGATCCGTATAGACGTTAATTTTTACAGTGATATCTGATAAAAAATAGCCACCGACACGAATTCGGCTTCGATCACACGCCTATGACAACAAAATATGAAAATGAACTTAGTTAGTACATGCCTCAAGCTCAGTTTCTGTTTGAACGTTGGTTAAACCAAAACTTTTCTTTTGAAGTTCTGTCTTTTCGGCTACCTGAATGACACGCCATTGAGGATAATACTGAAGTCAACCAAAAAGATAACTTTAGAGATAGGATATGACAAAAAACCTCGTTCAAGAGATCCGATTACTGCATGTCAGTACCTCGAACAGGAGGGCGATTGAGCAGGACTCAACCACAATCCCAACCCCCTCTGAAAAGTGAGAGAACACTACTACTGAATCCTTAGAGTAGAATAAATACACCTAGACACAACTGCAAAAAAAGCAACTACGCTCGGTTCATATTTGTAATGCATCTCACCTGAACCGTGACCAACTGCCTGCGACATTTTTGAGCAATCTTGATAAACGTATCACAAGCCATGTCCTGGACGCCTTCGTGAGTTTCGTGCATAAATTCAAAGAGTTTGGTAATAACCGTTTTCAGGAATCGCCAATGCGCGCGTAAAAATCGGGGATACTGGCCGACCACGTACATGATATTACTGGCCACAATTGCCTTATTGTCCTTGCCCCGTTTTTGTTCGCACAAACCCAACAGATCGCGAATTACGATCACCAAGAAGCTCCGTTCATCGTCTTCTTGCATAGCACCTGAGATACTCCCGATTGCCCAACAGAGTGTGTTCAAGTTATGCCATGACCATTCACTGCCATCAACTTGGTTTTGTAATTTTTCAATCATTATTTTCTTCGTATCCTGTAATAAAGCCACGGTGAGATAGCATTGAAATACATTTAAAAAGTATGCAAACGGCAACATAGAAGTTACACTTAAAAACACTCCAGATCTTCTGTGGCGGGAACCTAAGGACTGCCATTTTACGTAGCATGCAACTCTGAACTGTAACTCACGCTAAAATTAACGATGGACTTGTTGACTAAGAGAATGAAAAATATATCAGCCACTAATTTCAAAACATATCTGAAACAGACACGCAAAACGTGTACTGAAAAACTATATCGTGCGGCTGGAACAGGATGCGATATTAACAACGTCTAATACCCAGGATGTATTAACAGCCAATCGATTCATTGACGGAGTGCGTCTCTAAAAGACACTGATGAAGAATCCGTACTCACTATTTATCTGAGGTAAGAGTTATTCTGCCTAGGAGGGTGAAAAAAGAAAGAAAATTCAAGATTACAACCAAGTAGTAGAATTATGAACAGATAGTTGGGGGAGTTGCAAGACCATAAAGTACGCCTCGGAAAGAAGCATACGAATCGGATACGGAGTACTCTGGTCGTGAAGATTACTGGTTTGATTGGAGGATAGAAGAGTAAGAGTTTGACAGTAAATCGACCCTCGATGGACTGTTCCAGTTTCGATTACAAATTTACTCTGACTGCTGTCTTTCGGTCTTTTGGCCGAATAATGAGGATGGAGTAAACGAGTTTAGAGCTAAGACATAGAGCTAAAAACATACGGAAATCCAGTAAGTTAGATTTAAGCAGGTGCATACAAGCACACGCGCTACTACTGACGATACAGTCATATCACTCAGTCCGTAACCGCTGATTATGTTGATCAAGTTTCATGCCAGCATTAAGTTCCACTCATTAATCGCCTCAGCATCGTACGGTGACATGAACAACAGTCAGTAAAATCCATGGAATTCAAGCAATCGCGTCACTGTGCGATCGTGATGACCTAATTATCGTCGAAACTCGTTTATTATATATATATATATATATATATATA